AGGCTTGGTCAGCCAAGGCTTGGTCAAGTCGGGTCTTCAAAACCTCCAAGGATGGAGACTCCTCCACCTCTCCGGGGAGCCTGTCCCAGTGCTTCACCAGCCTCCCAGCAAGAAGGTTTTTCCTCATATCCAACCTCAACTTCCCTTGCTGCAGCTTGAGACCAATACATCCTTTGGTGTCCACTGGCTTCATCTGGAGGGTGCCCCAAAATTATTCAAGGGCAAAACTCATATGTGAGGACTTTGCTTTCTCATCTATGCTATACCCACATCGACTGGTGGGAATTTTTAAAATTTCAGTGTAAAAAGAGGGAATACACACGTACACACACATATCTATATATATAACACACACACACATACACAGATGCATACACCTACATATGTATACCTGCACACATACACACACACACATGACACATCTACACACATTATGTATATACACACACACACATATACACACATATACATATAACATATATCCACACATACACGACACATATACATATAACATATATACACACACACATATATACCACATATACACACATTACACATATATATATGCACACACACATACATGTATATATACACACACACACACACACACACTCAGTATGTACTTACATATTGATAAAGAGGGAACAGTTGCACACTTGGCAGTTCCATCTCCCTGCCCCTCTGCTTGGCAGCATTGCTCGCACACTGCTCAGAGCTGCATTGCCTTCAATACACTGGCAACGTTTCTCAAGTGAATGTTGAATTTTGCCAGAAAAAAGGGGAAACTTTCAACAGAAAGTTCTTAAAATGCACTGAGCTTAATTCTAACAACTGCTCGCCTGCCCAAAACTGGATCTCCAAACATGTTACATATTCATAAACCTCTTAACGTTTGGGCTGGGACTCAAGTGTGGACAGGCTGAAATAAAGAGAGATTTTGCTGTTGGTAGAAGTCACGTAAAGAAGGCGGAGGGGCTAGACATGCTATCTCTCTTCTGTAGTTCTGTGGTTTGCCCTGTACTCAGCCCTTCACTCTCTCTAATGTCTTTCTCAGCTGGGAGGGAGGGAAGCGCTGCTATTCCAACACTAGAGGTAAGGAAATGAGATGAGAGGAGGCTGAGGGACCTGTCTAGGATCACACGTGGCACAGCCGGGCACTACACCTGCATCTCCTGTAAAGAGCACTGGAGCACCCTTCCCACCGTGCTCCCCGTGCACCTGCTCCCCCGTAAATCCCAGGGAAGGCCCGCATGCATCTCCGTTGTGCTTATCGCCGTCCATGGCTGCACGGCTGCCTTGGGCACATACCTGCCATGAGCAATGTAACCCCCGACACCAGGCAGATGAGGAGCTTGATGTTGGGCTCGTTGGTGAGGAACTTGACTGAGCAGCAGGAAGGTGAATCCGAATCCTGCCAGGATGTCAGCTGTGATCATCATGGCTCGGGTCAGCACCAGCTTCACTGCAGCGCAGGAGCAGGACAGGACGGTGCAAGGAAAAGACAGCAAGAAATCAGAGGTGATGGAGCACCAGCTTGCACCAGCAGCCCTTTCCTGGAGTGAAAACGTGGCTCCTTGAAAATAAGGGAGCAGGGTGTGACAGGGGTACAGTCAGTCCTTGATGTATACGGTACTTTTTGCACAGTTTCAGTCAATTCATTGTAACCCTTTCTTTTTTGTACATGGTATGGATTCACTTTTACGCAGTGGGGATGGAGTGCAGTACAGTCAGGCCTCAATTTACACAGTATTTTTTTTTGGCATGGTTTCAGTTATGCACGGCCAACTAACTGTGTATCTTTCTAGGCGATTTCTGTTTGCACAGTGTTTTTTCAAAAATGTAACCGCCATGTAAATTGAGGCCCGACTGTACTGAATGAAATCCTATCCCAGGGGATCTCTGCCACTGGGCACCAATATTCATAGATTCATAGATTCATAGATTAAGGGTC